TTCGCAAAAACCCAGGTTTTTTTTGTCGACGCCAGAAAAGAAGTCAAAGTATAATTATAAGGAACCCGCTGTCGGATTCACCGAAAAATTTTGCACATAGCGCCCAACTTTTACCTAATTTGGTGCAGCGCGGCAAAAGTACATAGTTTTCTAATGATGATAATAAGAGCAAGACAAATTTCATATTTACATATATTCCGCTTTTTTGGCTAATTCCATATCCGATAACGTTATGCTATTTGAGGATAACTGTAAAATCCAAGTTATAATTTGGTTTCATAGAACCTGAAATTAAGGCATTTGTTCTCGTATCACTCTTTATTCCCTTGGCTTTAGTCTAGGGTCTTACAAAACGGTTATCTGTGTATGTGTATGCAAAGTGCGGAAAAATGGCTGTCAGATATTCTATGGATAAGCCAATCATAAGCGAGAAACATAAAAAATTTCTTTTAATAAAATTCCTGTGTACCTATTTTGAGGTCAATCTCTGTGAAATGAATTGCATCATGTCCCCGAAGAGAAAACCGGGTAAAACATGTTGAAATTTATGCCCCACTGTCTCCAGAAAAAGCTCTTCGGAGAGAGAGTTTGTTCGATCCTGAAATTTGTGATTTTTCCCGTTCTTCGACACAAGCTGAAACCTCATACAAGAAGCAAAATTTCTTGACAGAAAATAAAATTCCTTGTCTTTCTGCAGGCTAAGCATGCATCAGTTAAAAACTGGGCTTCTACGAAAGCTGTTATAAGTCGCCTATGAAGAATCAGTCAGAGTCGCGGAAGTTCTCATTTTGTAGAGAAATGTTTGCTCTTGAAAAATCAACTGTGAAAAAGAATTTGAAGTTAATAATGTAAACGAAAACTTCCGTTCCTTTGTAAATTGGGCGAACTTTATAGAAATTAAATTAGCCCTAAAATTTCAATAAAACTGAAGGGTTAGTTTGACTTTCCTCACAAAGTTCTAACGTTAGCCGGATTAAACAAAAATAAAGAAGAGATTCCAGAGAAGTAGAAAATGGAACTCGCCTTCAACGAGAAACTAACAAACACTTCTGCTTCATTTAAAATAATTTTCATGAAAACTAAGAATTAATAGTAAAAAATAAAAATAGCGCTTTGACAGAAGTCTGGTAAGATACCCAAGACGTGAGGTGCACGTATATCGTCTGCTCTACAGTTTTTTGACAAACCTGATTATAGTTCTCCACTTTTGATCTTTATACCTTCGAAGAACTGCAGCAATCAAATTCTTGACTTTATTGCACGATGTTTTACCCGGTTTTTCTTCAGGAACATCATGCAAAAAGGTGATGATTCGAAAGTACCGTAATCTTCACACTGAGTTTGAGGCTTATCTGTCAGTTATTGATATTTGCTCTTTTTTTCTTGTTGTTGTTTTCTTTTTTAAAAAATTTTCTTTGCTACTTCTGGTTCTAATCCTAGTTGTCTTCTTTATTTTGTTATTTCTTTTTATTACTCTTTTGGTGTTGTTTGGCTTGAGTCATTGTTATTACAGGTTGGTGACCTTATTCATGACTCTCACTTTTCGTGAATAAAACAGTCTTAGTCTTAGTCTATTATTTAGCGAGTTGGTGACGGAACAAAACTTTTCATTTTTCAGTCATGATTTCAACTAAAATATCTTTTTCAAGACGCCTGATTACATATGTTCTCGAGGAAAAGTCCGAGCAAAACATGATGTAACAAGACTTTAAAAAAACGAATTCTAAACCATTGGAAAACGCGAAAGATACGATGCGTGACTTTGTTGAAACGCACGCTTGGATTTCCTGAGATAGGCCCGTATCTCGAATTAGTCGTTCCATAAAGGAAATCAGCTAATTAGTATGATTATCTTTCATGCGAGGCGCCTTTTCTGTGATCTACGCGCACTTAATTTTAATTAGTGCAGAAAGCGACATACGATACACTGCGTCTTGGATAGTGTAACCATTGGTTCTTATGGCGCCAATGAGACCATTGCTATAGGCCATAAGAATGAATTTCGCTATAAAGAGTTGAAAAAGTTCAAACAAAAAACGGTTTTACCAAACTTTCACGATCACCAGAGCATATATCCTAGATTATATCGGTAAAAGGAAATCAAATAAAAACACGCGTCTCAGAAGTTGTTTTTTTTCATATGACAGCTTTCTTTCGCATTAATATCTCCTAAAAAATGTAAGTATGAAATGATAAAAGAGAGAATTTCTTTTTAAAATACTTCAGTAAACATACAAAAATGATTTCTGTTTTTCTATGTGTATCTGGACCACGATACAAATATCTTCCACATGTTTCTAATAAATTACAACACATTTCAATAGGCAACATAGTGTCATTGACTGTTTCAAAAAGTATATTTGTTTTTTTTATATTGCCAATTGCACCAGGAATGGGTGTCTTGCATCCGATAAAATAAAGAGTTTAAAACAACTGTTGCTAGCGACCGATCTCACTGTTGTACTGACGAAATATTTGTTTTAGGCGAAGCCCTGGCCCTGTAGGGTAGGGTAAGGGCGCCCTGCACATCTCTATCGCCGATATCTCCTCCGAACTCAATGTAATTCGATTTAAAAAAACAATTAAATTCTCAGTTTCCTGATACCTGTGCGATCCTCCTGGAATACACCTTCAATTGCGTCACAATTTTTCAACAAAAATTTATCTAGAGCCAAACTCTCGACCAGTTGGCTGTGAAAAAGATTGCTCATACTAGCAACAATCTCGTGCTACGCATTGAGCTGTGTGTTTCCTCGGTTCTTATTTTCTCTCTCAGAGTACTCATGTTGTAGAAGTCAAACGAATTCATTTCTTTCTTAGGACTTAATCAATTTCAAGTAGTCTGTTATTGCTATCGCAGTAGTCAAATAAAGTAAATTGTCAAAGTATAAAATAGTGCGATTGATCGGCTTGAGTGCAAGTGCTATAGGATGGAGATATTGGCTCAATGACATTCATGAAAGTAGTAATTTCGAACACCGCCCTCATCACGAGTAGATGTCTGTGTGTGAGAGGAGAATAGCCTGACAGCAATATCTTTTTTTTTCTATTTATGCCAGCAAAAGCACATTCATACACCAACACGTTGACTCAGAGCACGTTTTCTCTATAGCACTGAAGAAATAAGGAGAGAGAAAAAGAAAAGAACGCATAAAACTTCGTCAACAACAGGAAAGAGAAAGTGTACGCCGTAGTCGGGCCAGGAGAATGAATATTTAACGATATGAAGAGAAGGAGAGAGATGTCCGTCATCACTCGACGCTGACAAGTAAGCTTTTCTTTTGCCATAAGGTAGATGCGCACAAGTAGTGATAATGGTCCAGACATTCACATGCGAAAACGAACAGGCACTAGTACTGGAAATATGAGTGTATATTCTTGTAATAGGTTTCGCTGCACGTATGTGGTAAAAAAGACTCATCCACATTTTCACGAAGTCACTCCCAGTGCATAATCTACCCGACAAATGTGTCATGCTTTTGATGCCACGTCCTTGAAGCCCAACATGGTTCGAGCATTCTGAACAGCTCGTAATATATCTTCAATCCCGTTCTTGGACTAGGAGCGTTTCCTTACTTCCAAATATCAACGATAAAAACGAACATGCTACATGTGGTATCTACAATTTTTTATAAGTTTTCCCGAAATCCGATTCTTGTACGATAGATCAAAGTGAAAGACTTTTGGAATATGAAAGATTTGATAAGATGAAAACTCTGCTACCCTGCTGTCATATTCCAATACTTATTAGGTCATTCTATGATTCAGCATCCCTAGTATTTAATCCTAGATCACATAATGAGTAAGCGGCGCAGACTCTTCTCGAACGCGATGACAACAGTCCCAACAAATAATATGCGACGTCCTCGACCCAGCATTACCTGGGAACACTTGTGGCCACTGAGTGAAACACAAGAAGCCTTGTCGAAATCGCCATTTGTCGACGTACCTACTGAGGTGATATTACACATATTTCAAATGCTGTCCGTGCGTGATCTGGGACATGTTTCACTGGTTTGTCGTTCATTCAAAATGATTGCTGGCCAAGACGAAATCTGGAAATCAAAATGCAATAGTAAGTGCACTCGTTTCCTTATTTACCTGCTCTGAATTTCAGTATGAAATAGCATCGACAAAATTGCATTCAAAATCATTCAAACAAATTTATATGGATTGGATCTATGAAAAATATTTACGAAATGAAGAATTAGAAAGAGTCGAAGCTATGTATGCTAAAAAAATGCGAGGCGTAGCTTGTGGAAGGAGATGCGGACCGCCTCGCTATCCTGTTAGGCCGGCTGGCAACCATCGATTTGCGCCCATTGGTGGATTTAATCAGCATCCAAACGAATCTCAAGATATGTAAGAGAGCTGTATCTTTCATCATTATCATTTTCGAAAGCTCCTAATTTTTCTCTAGAGTGTCAAATTCGAAAAGAGTAACGCTTTCTTACATCAAAATTTCATTCTGAGTACTGCCGTACTCTGATAGGCAATAGTTGATTATGAGTATAGTTTCATTTCGATCTTAGACTAAAAGACTTTTTAAACAATCAAATGCACTGTTCGGTGTTTTTTCTATTATACAGGACTATCGAATTGTCGGTTGACGTCGACAAAGCGGCTCGAGAACTCATCTCATTGTTGGAAAAGGCGTCGACGTTTCAGGTCGAATGGCGTCAACCAGCAGTAATCAAACAGATGATGACGAGATACAATCGATTCATGCAATTGAAAGCTTCATGTTCACACAATATCCTACTTATTCCTACGTTGGATATCGAAATCGTTTGGCAAACACATCTGCTAAGATCTGAAATGTACCGAGCAGATTGTCTTCGCTTGTTCCATCGAGTCATCGATCATTCCTTATTGACCAGTGACATTGAACAATTCCTGAAAGAGCAAGCGTTCGTGGACACTTGTCAACTGTACGAACAGCGATTCGGCGAACAATATTGTCCGTTGCCATCAGTCAACGAAGAGAAAACGCCCGCTCCAAAATATGTTCATCCTGTTTTTGGTTCACTTAAATGCCTCATTCCTGTCTATTTCTATTGGGATCAAACATATTTTGAATTTCAATCCAAACCGTCCACGAATGACGAAGCGAATCCCTTTTCTTTCACCGAGGCCGACATTATTCTTGATGGAAATTGGCTCGATTTGTGTAAACGTTTTATGGCTGAAATGAGGTTAAAGGTCCCTATTCACTACTATTACGACAGCAAATTGAGTCCAATCGATCTGAGTACAGCAGCAATAAAACGATTGAAAAAATCCTACGAACGATTTTTATACATGGCAGCCAGATATCCACCAACAAATGGATATGATTTTGTGCATCCCACTTATGCGGTAGGACTTTTCATATAACAGAAAAGAAATCTCATTATTAATTATTCTCTTTCAAAGATTGACATCATTTGGCATTCTCATATGCAAGAACCATTGAAATATGCTTCTGACTGTGTCCGTCTGGTCGGCTACGTCATCGATCATGCACCATGGCCATCGGTGGACGAAAATAAGATGAAGCAATCTTGTGATGATACAAGTAACAGCTGGAAACGGGAATTCAACAGCGAGATGTCAACAGATCATCTCTACAATACTATCAATGACAGCTATGATCATTGGAGTGACTGAATGTTGAATTAACTTATAATTTTTTGAAACAGTAGTAATAATCATGACTAAAGTAGTATTTTAAAATAATTTTCAGCAGTCAAATAAATCAACTTGGCACATTCAATTTTGGACGTTAACAAAACCAAACCAAACATTTGAGGTCAACTGTCATTTCGACAATATTCAGTTCTTTTGCGCACACCGCTTTCCCATGAATTGCTCGACAACGATGTATCTGACAAATGCGCGTCCTGTGGAGAATTGCACGGCACATCTTTTGGAAAAATGTTCAAGTGAAAGTACTGAAAACTCAATGAGGTATGACCAAAATTCATATTGTATCATTATTTATGGCCCACTCTGTAATTCAAAATTTTCTATGAAATTTTACATTGTTTGTATTCTTGTAATAATAGTAGCTAGAAAGCTCAAATTCTGGCATATGCACGCCTAGTATATATGCTGTTAAACGCAGCAATTATGACAGGACAATCTCCATTGTTTATGGCAAAAACCATTGATCGCCAGATGCCTTGACTGTAAATTCTTAAACTGCTGCACGATAGATGAAGTTATGTGGTCCCTTGAACGGGAATAAAAGTTACATTAAAAGTATTAAAGCGTTGATTTAAAAGTTAAAATATGTGTTGCAGGAAAGAGAGATTCAAACTCAGAAAAATTTAGAATTTTTCTAGGATAAATTAAAATTCTAGTTTCTCCTAGGACAACTTAAAATATTAATTTTAACTCGACTTTTTCAAAACAAACGTCAAATTTTAGTTTTTCCTACAGGAGAATTTCAAATATTCATGGACATATATAGTTGCATAACAGTATGTCTAGCTCTAGGATTGATTTGATGCCCATCGAGGTAAAGCGTGGCCACTTGTATTCAACAGCTTTGTGCATGGTGTAATTTTTGGTGTTGAGAAACAATAAGCAGCATGGAAAAAATGAATAAAAATCGGATTGTTATGCAAAAAGCAGAAAAAAGCTTTGAGATTACAGAACCGAATACTTTTTCAAATTGTAGATTCAGAAATATGTAAAGATAGCAATATGAAACTAATTGCAAACAAAAATGCTTCTTTTTGAGCTTTAGCAATCAAGAATTTTCCAGTTTCAGTACATTGCAGCACGCTCTTCAGATATGCCTTGGCACTCAGGAACTATCGAATGAATTCGAACAGGGTGGATCCATAGAGATACTTTCAAGAAAATTGAAAAATACGGTCGGTGATCGAATTAGGCGCAAAACGTAGTATATATTAGTCAGACCAAAAACGTCTCCTATCAGGGGTGTAACCAGTATCAAAAATACGCTACCGGTACCGATCACCGGTATACGGTCTTCGTACCGGTACCGATCGATGTACCGGTACCGGCCGGTACGGGCTTGTCTTGATCATGTTTGCCAAATACAAATACTTCTTCCTTGTTTTCTGTACTGTACAAATTCTTGAGATTATTTGATTATCTGTAGATGATAACTTATCACTGTGCACTTTTTTTAAAATGAAGCTATGATCATGTTTCATACATGTGAAGAAGTCTACCCATATTTAGCGAGAAAAACCGGTTACTCTGCTGCTCAATTACTTATGGTATCAAAGAGACAGGCTAATCTCAATTATGTATAGCTAATTTTTCACACGCTGTTTTTAACGAAAATAGCAATCCGATTCAACTTTTCAACTAAGAAATTTATATCAGCCGACAAAGTTTAAGTAAATGGAATTAAATTTTAGTTTAAGAAATATGTCATAGACGAACTGAATTTACACTAGGGCTGTAGCCGTTCACGTTGGTTTGGCAAAATTTTAAACGAGAACGGAAACGGTTTTGCCGTTGACGTTCTGAACTCTCAACGCTACTTCATCAGTTGACGTTCTGAACTGTCAACGCCACTTCGTCAGTTGACGTTCTGAACTGTCAAGGTGTCGCATTGGTTGGCGTTCTGAACTGTCAACTGCATCTGGTCAGTTGACGCTCTCAACTGTCAACGTGAAAAAC